TCCTGCCTCAGCCTTCCGAGTAGCCAGAATTACAGGCATGCACTACCACGCCCGGCTGATTTTTTGATTTATTGCGGAGATGAGGTCTTGCTGTCCAGGCGGGTCTCGAACCCGCGGGCTCAGGCAATACACTCACCTCAGCCTCCCAAAGGCGCGGGATTACAGGCTGAGCCACCAAGCCCAGCTACTCATGTCTTTAATGTGTTTGATATACATCGTGTATATGTATTTAGACTTGGAAAATACTTCATGTTAGTTTATGTGTGTGTGTTTTACATACACGAGACCATGCTATAATAGATTTTGTTCCATTTTTGAATTTTTATTTTTAATTATTAATTTATTATTTTCAAATGGTGTCCCACTCTGTCACCCAGGCTGGAGTGCAGTGGCCCAATCCCAGTTCACCACAGCCTTAACCTCCTGGGCTCAGGTGATCCTTCTGCCTTGGCCTCCCACATAGCTGGCTCTACAGGCTTGCACCACCAATCCTGGCTATTTTAAAAAATATTTTATAGAGACTAGGTCTCATGTGTTGCCTAGGATGTTCTTGAACTCCTGGGCTCCAGCCATCCTCTCACCTTGGCCTTCCAAAGTGTGGGATTACAGGCTGAGCCACCGAGCCCGGCTCCGTTATTTATTTAAATTCTTTATCTTTACTTTTTTTAGGTTCAAGGGGTGCCTGTGCAGGTTTGTTACACAGGCATACCGTGGCATGATGGCGAGGTTTGGGCTTCTATTGAAACTGTCCCCAGGAGGTGGGCATGGTACTCAGTTTCAACACTTACCGCCTCCCTTCTTCCCTCCCTCCCTCCTTATCGCTCCCCCTTTAGGGATCCCCAATGTCTGTTGTTTCCTTCCTTGTGCATGTGTGCATTCCGTGTGTAGCTCCCACTTAGAAGGGAGAGTACATGGTCTTCACTTTCTTGTTTCTGTGAAAATTCGCTCAGAAGGTGGGCTCCAGCTGCATCCATGTTGCAGAGGACACGATTCTTGACCGCATGCTATTTACACAGAGGGCTGCTGTAAATGTCTGCGTATGAGTTCCCATACATTGATTTTCTGGATGCAACCCCAGAAGTGAGGTTGTTGAGTCACAGGGCCTGAACACGCTTCACTTCATAAAGTATCTCAGAGTGTCTTCAGTGTACACTCCCAGCTATTTCTTCTTATCTTTTCAAACGCTTGGCATTACCCTTTTCATATCTGTCAATCTAACGGATCAAAAGTGGTCCCTCCCTGTGGATGTAAGTTGCATCTCTCTGATCCCTGGGAAAGTGGCTTGTCTCTTCATGTGCTTGAGAGGGACCCAGGCTGCTCCTCCTGTGAATGCCTATTCATGCCCTTTGCCCATTTTTCAATCGGGTCGACTCTCTCTTCTCACTTATCTGCAGGAGTTCTTTGTGCACTCTAGACAGGAATCCTTTGTGAGACAGGAGTCTTTTCTGAGTCTGTTAGACTTTTGCTGCCTGTATCTTGGTGTCCTTTGTTAAATAAAGTGACTATCCATTTCTAATCCCACTTGACCCTCAACAAACCCATTTAAAGGGACTAGGAAAGAGATTATCTCCCTTTATGTATTTTTTTGAGTCAGTGTCTCACTCTGTCACCCAAGCTAGAGTGCAGTGGCATGGTCATGGTTCACCACAGTTTCGACCTCCTAGGCTCAGGTGATCCTCCTGCTTCAACCTCCCAAGTAGCTGAGACTATAGGTGCACATCACTATGCCTGGCTAATAATAATAATAATACTAATTATTATTATTATTATTATTAGAGATGAAATCATGCTATATTGCCTATGCTGGTCTCGAACTTCTGGACTCAAGCAATCATCCTGCCTTAGCCTCCCAAAGTGCTGGAATTACAGGTATGAGCCACCATGCCTGGGTTATCTCACTTTAAAAAGGAGAAATCAGCCGGGCTCGGTGGCTCAATCTCTAATCTCGCGCCTTGGGAGGCTGAGGTGAGTGAATTGCCTGAGCCCATGGGTTTGAGACCCGCCTGGGCAACTTGGCAAGACTTCATCTCTACAATAAATCAAAAAATCAGCCGGGCGTGGTAGCGCATGCCTGTAGTTCCAGCTACTTGGAAGGCTGAGGCGGAAGGATCCCCAGAGCCCAGCAGGTTGAAGCTGCGGTGGCCAGGAGGGGCCACTGCACTCCAGTCTGGGGGACAGAGTGAGACTCCAACTCAAAAAAAAAAAAAAAAGGAGAAATCAGATCTGGTGCAGTGGCTCACACCTGTACTCCCAGCATTTTGGGAAGCCAAGGCAGGAGGATCGCTTGAACCCAGGAGTTCGAGACCAGCTTGGACAACATAACAAGGCTCCTTCTTTAAAAAAAAAAAAAAAAGAAAAAGGAGAAATCAGAGGTCCAAAGAGGCCACTGACCCACTGGAGGCCTCAGATCTGGACCTCAGAGCTCTGGACTGGAAACCCAGCTCCTGCATGGTAGTGTGGTTGCAGGTAGCTTCTGTGTCTCTAATCATCATTTTTCTCCTCTGGAAATCAGAGGTGCTACTGTCCTAGCTTTAGGCTCCTGTGAGTGATGTCACATGTCCAGTCCTGAGCCTCACACGGCAGAGCTCATGCCCTCACCTCACTTCTTCTCTCCTGCTCCTACAGAAGCAAACTGTTCCTACTTTAAATTCTTCACCACGGGAGAGAATGCGCACATCTTCCAGAGAACCACAAAGAAAGGTGAGCACTCCCCGCCCCCCACCCCTCCTCCCCCTCTCCCCAGCCCCCAGGAGGCAGGCTAGGGCTGGGAAGTTCCAGACAGCATTGGCATCTCCTCTAATTTACTCCAGGATGGGCCTGGTGTTTGTAACATGATGATGTTCCATCTCTGTGGAGTGGTGGCCACAAAGTTAAGGATGAAGACTTGGTTCTTCAGAGCCCTGTCCCTGATCCTCTCACCTATAACTCTGCCTGGCCACTGCTGTGTGACTGTGGGCAAGTCACAGCCCCTCTCTGTGGATGGCACCATAACATCTCACAAGTGTGTGCCCGTTACATGCTAAGCACAATGCTGGGCATTTCATTTATAAGCTCTCCAGTCCTTCCAAAACCCTGCAGGGCAGGGGCTTTATTGTCCCCTTCCAGATTAGAAAATAGAAGCCCAGAAATGGTTTTTGTTTATTATTTTTGTGTTTTTGAGTCAGAGTCTCACTCTGCACCCAGGCTGGACTTCAGTGGCATACTCATGGCCACTGCAGCCTTGGTCTGCTGGGCTCAGGCAATTCTCCCACCTTAATCTTCCAAGTAGCTGGAACTATAGGCGCATCCCACCATGCTGGGGTAATTTTCTGATTTATTGTAGAGATGAGGTCTTGCCAAATTGCCCAGACTGGTCTCAAACCCCTGGGCTCAGGCAATCCTCTTGCCTCTGCCTCCCAAAGTGCTGGGATTACAGGTGTGAGCCTCTGCGCCCTGCTTGGTTTTTTTTTTCTTCTTCTTCTTTTAATTTGTTTGTTTGTTTGTTTTTGTCGAGTCTCACTCTGTTGCCCAGGCTGGAGTGCAGGGGCATGCTCACGCCACTGCAGCCTCGACCTGCTAGGCTCAGGTGATCCTTCAACCTCAACTTTCCAAGTGGCTGGAATTACAGGCGTGTGCCAACATGCCCAGCTAATTTTTTGATTTATTGTAGAGACGAGGTCTCGCCAAGTTTCCAGGCTGGTCTCCACCCTTTGGACTCAGGCAATCCTCTCACCTCCACCTCCCAAAGTGCTGGGATTACAGGGGTGAGCCACTGCACCTGGCCTAGAAATGGTAAACATTATTATTTTTTTTCCCCCAGAAAGTGGCAGAAGCAGGGTGTAAACTCAAATTCTGACTCTAAAACAGTGTGCACCTGGAAATATCCTATATCTGCACTGATCTGTACGGTCCACTGGCCGCATGCGACTGCTGAATGTTTGGAATGCGGCTGGTGTGGTGGGGAAATGGAGATTTTGATTGTGCTTAATTGAAATCGATCAAAGATTAAGAGAACACCCGTGCCTGATGGTGACTTTGCCAGACAATGCAATTCTGAATTCGTAAAGTCCTTTCTACTCTAACTACAGTCTCTCCATCCACCCCGTGCTACAGTCTCTCCATCCACCCCGTGCCTCAGTGTTCCTACCAGTAAAGGAGGTGTGATGATATCATGCATCTTATCTGGCCTTTGTAGAGATGTAATGAGATGGTGTTGCTGAAACATTTGCTGTGGACCTGGGCACATAGTAGGGCCTCAGAGATGGCGGTTCCTGAAAGCTCTCTGTCCTTTCTCTCAGATCTTTGTGCCCTGTGGGCTCGAATGAGCCACCGCGTGTTTCTGGGATAGCGAAATAATTCTGGTGCATGTGTAGGGAGCACCATCTGTGTGCTGAGTGCTGCACTGGGCACCCTGTATACGTGATTTCTTAGGACAGTCCCATCAGATTGGGATTTGGATCCTGATTTTCCAGAGGAGGAAAACTGAAGCCAAGAAGGATTCAGTGACTCTACCAGAATCTTCCACCTAGGAAGTGAGTGGAGAGAATTTCCAACTGGGATCTTTCTGCTATAACACACCACTTTTGCTGTTGTCTCCATACAACCCACTGCCTCAGTTTTCTCACCTGTGAACACATGGTGACCAAATCATAAGTGATACTTGGCCATTCCCTTCTCTTTCTAATCTTGGCTCTGTCCTCTCTTCGCTCTGTGACCTTACACAAATACCTGACCCTCTCTGAGTTGTAGTCCCCTCAACAACGTAAGTAACCACTCCTATTCAACATAGTACTGGGAGTCCTAGCGACAGCAATCAGGCAAAAGAAAGAAAGCATATTTAAATTGGAAAAGAAGAAATTAAACTATCTCAGTATGTTGAAGATACAATCTTATACCTGAAGAATCCTAAAAACTCCCCTAAAAGACTCTTGGACTTGATACATGAATTCAGTACCATCTCAAGATACAAAATCAACACACACAAATTAACAGTGCTGCTATACACCAACAATGACCAAGTTGAGAAATCAATTCCATTTACACTAACAGTCAAAAACTAAAATACCTAGGGATATATTTAATGAAGGAGGTATAAGATCTCTACAAGGAGAGCTACTAAACACTGATGAAAGAAATGGTAGAAAACACAAGCAAATGGAAAAACATCCCATGCTCATGGATTGAAAGAGTCAACATTGTTAAAATGACCATAATACCCAAAATAATCTACAGACTGAACCCAATCCCTATCAAATTACCAACATCATTTTTCACAGAATTAGAATTTTTCCAATCCTAAAATTTATATGGAATCAATAAAGAACCAGAATAGCCAAAGCAATTCCTGAACAAAAAGAACAAAGCTGAAGGCATCACATTATATGACTTCAAATTATGCTGCAAGACTGTAGTGACCAAAACTGCGTGGTACTGGTATAAGAACAGACATCCCGGCCAGGCCCAGTGACTCACACCCATAATCCCAACACTTTAGGAAGCTGAGGTGAGAGGATTGCCTGAGCCCATGGTTTTGAGACCAACCTGTCAAGACCTCATCTCTACAATAAGTTCAAAAATTAGCTGGGTGTGGGGCATACACCTGTGGTTCAAGGTTCTTGGAAGGCTGAGGTGGAAGGATCGCCTGAGCCCAGCAGATCAAAGCTGTGGTGGCCATGAGTGTGCCACTGCACTCCAGCCTGGGCAACAGAGTGAGACTCCAACTCAAAAAAAAAGAGCAGACACATGGACCAATGAAACAAAATAGAGAATCCAGAAATAAACCCAAATACCTACAACCAACTGACCTTTGACAAAGCAAACAAAATACACCAGGGAAAAGGACACCCTATTCAAATAATAGTGCTGGGAAAATTAAGTAGCTATATGCAGAAAAATGAAGCTTGATCCCTATCATTCCCCATATACAAAAATTAACTCAGGATGGATTGAAGACTTGAGTGTCAGACCTGAAAAATCCTAGAAGAAAACTTAGGAAAAACTCTTCTGGACATTTCCTAGGCAAAGAAGTTATGGGTAAGAACCCAAAAGCAAATGCAACAAAGACAAAAATAAATAAATGGAACCTAATTAAACTGAAAAGATTCTGTACAGCAAGAGAAATAATCAACAGAGCAAACAGGCAACCTACAGAATAAAGAGAAGATATTTGCAAACTATATACCTGACAAAGGACAGATAATCAGAATCTACAAAGAACCGAAAGAAATCATCAAGAAAAAAACAAGTGACCCCATTAAAATGTGGGCGAGTGACATGAACAGACATCTCTCAAAAGAAGATATACAAATGGCCAATGAGCATATGAAACAATGCTCAATATCCCTCATCATCAGGGAAATGCAAATTAATACCACAATGAGATACCACCTTATACAAATCAGAATGGCCAATATTAAAAAAATCAAAAAATAATAGAAGTTGGCATAGATGTGGTGAAAGGGAATGCTTATACCCTGTTGGTGGAAGTGTAAATTTGCACAACCTCTATGGAAATCGATTTGGAGATTTCTCAAAGAATTAAAAGTAGATCGATCATTTGACCCAGCGATCCCACTCCTAGGTATCTACCCTAAGGAACAGAGGTTGTTATACACAAAAGACACTTGCACTGACTTGTTCATTGCAGCATAATTTACAATGACAAAGATGTGGAATCAACCTAAATACAATTGATCAGTGGATAATGAAAATATGGTATATTTACACTATGAAATATTATTCAGCAATAATAAAGAATGAAATAGACTGAACATGGTGGCTCACTCATATAATCCCAGAACTCTGGGAGGCCCAAGGCAGGAGGATTGCTTGAGGCTAGGAGTTGAAGACCAGCCTGGGCAACATAAAGAGACCTCATCTCTACAAAAATAAAAGAATTAGCCAGGCATGGTGGTGTGTGCCTGTAGTCCTAGTTACTTAGGAGGCTGAGGTGGAAGGATTGCTTGAGCCTAGGAGGTCGAGGCTGCAGCGAGCTGTGATCGTGCCACTGCACTCTAGCCCAGGAGTGAGACCTCACCTAAAAAAAAAAAGAAAGGAAGGTGAAAAGTAAAGTAAAGAAAAGAAAAGAGAGAGAGAGAGAGACAGAGAGAGACAGAGAGACAGAGAGAGAGACAGAGAGAGAGAGAGAGAGAAAGGAAATCATGTTTTTTTGCAGCAACTTGGATGGAATTGAAGAACATCTTCCTAAGTGAACTAACACAGGAACAGAAAACCAAACACCACATGTTCTCACTTGTAAGTGGAAGCTAAACTAAGGATCTGTAAAGGCATAGAGAATGGAATAATGGATACTGGAGACTCAGAAGGGGGTGGGAGGAGGGATGAAAAATCACCTGCCAGGTACAGTGTGCACAGGTGGGGATGGTGGGTACACTTCAAGCCCAGACTTCTTTGCCACTATAGACAGCAGCCATGTAACCAAAAACTATTTTCACCCCCAAAACTATTGACATAAATAAAAACAAAACAAACAGAAAAAGAATAAAAGTGTAAGTTCAGTTTGCCAAAAATTCTCGCAAAACTTTCAAAAAATTCTTGCAAAAAAATAAAAACTGTTTAAGTAAAATGTGAGACTGGTGGATGATCTTCTGCTTGGAAATTCTTCTCTAGTCCTGAGTCTTAAATCTTCCTGGCCCTGGGCCCCTGTAGATGAGTCCTCCCCATTCCCTCCATCTCATGTTCTCTGCTTCTCCCCTCTCCTTTCAGAGGTGAATGTGGCAGCTGCGGTGATAGCCGTGCTGGGCCTGGTAGTCATGGCCTTGGGGTGCCTCTGTATCATCATGGTGCTCAGTAAAGGTGCAGAGTTCCTGCTCCGAGTTGGAGCCATCTGCTTTGGCCTCTCAGGTGAGGGTTGAGAGCCTGGAGGCTGAAGACATTGCATGCTGGGGGCATCTCCAAGCACTGTTGCATGCTGAGAGACAGGAGCTCGATGCACTGTTGCATACCAGGGGATGGGTTCTCTGTACACCATTGCATGCTGGGAGAATCTCCAAGTACTATTGCATGCTGGGAGATGGGCTCTCTACACACGGTTGCATGCTGGGAGATGGGCTCTCTACACACGGTTGCATGCTGGAAGATAGGATCTCTATGCACTGTTGCATGCTGGGAGATAAGATCTCTATGCACTGTTGTATGCTGGGAAATGGGCTCTCTACACACTGTTGCATGCTGGGAAGATCCATGTATTGCATGCTGGGAAATGGGTTCTCCACACTGTTGCATGCTGGGAGATAGAATCTCTATGCACGGTTGCATGTTGGGAGTTAAGATCTCTATGTGTTATTGTTTGCTGGGAGATGGGCTCTCTTCACGCTGTTGCATGCTGGGAAGATCTCCAAGTACTGTTGCATTCTGGGTGTTATGGGAAGCCCAAGGGCTATAGTAAGCTCAAAGATAGAAGAATTCCAAGCCCTATTGTTGTCTGAGGCCTGGCAGATACTGTGTTATATTTGGACCTGTGGTCATGGAGGACTTTTGCATGCTAAGAGGTGAGATCTCCAAGCACCATTGCATGGTGATAGGTGGAGTCTCAAGCACTGTTGAATGGTGAGAGGTGGGGTCTTAAGTATTGCTGCATTCTAGAAGTTGGAGACAGCTCAAGGACTATAGAAAACTCAAAAATGAGAGCTCCAAGTTCTGTTGTTGACTGGGAACTGGAGGCCCTCCAAACACTTTTATATTTGGACCTGGAGTCCCCTAAAACTGTTGCATGCTGGGAGCTTTCTGAGCATTATAGCATGTTGGGAGGTCGGGGAAGCCCAAGGACTATAGAAGATTCCAAGATGGGAGAGTTCCAAGCACTATTGTTGGCTCCAAATTGGGTGGTCTCCCATCACTCTTTTCGATTTGGGACCTAAGGTCTGCAAGAGCTATTGCATTCTTGGAGTTGAAGTTCCAGGTAAAATGCTGCATCTTTTGAGATGTAGTCCTCAAGAATCATACACACCCCAGTTGATTGTACATCCAGTTCAGATCTTAACAACAGTTCTACTAGGTAGGGATTACCACCTTCCATTTTATAGATACAAAAGTCGAGGCTCAGAGAAGTCAGATGAGTTCCTCATAGTCACACAGTCAATGAGGGCAGAGGTGGGGCTTAACACTGGGTCTTCTTATTCCACAGTGTGTCTGTCATAGTACCTCCTAGCTGCATTGCAGGAGCTATGTTTGTGTGGAGTCCTTGTAGGTTCAGGGCATAGTCTGATGGAATGATTGCTTAACTGGGAGTCGAGTGGTTGAGGTTCCTTCCTAGGCTGTGCCCTGAGTCACCGTGTGACCTTGGGAAGGCTTCTCTAATTTTCTGGGCCTTGGTATCTTTGTTGGATCAAATGTTTTCTAAAGTGAATAGGAAAGTCATTAATTACATAAACCTCATTGCTTGGTGTGTTGATGAGTGTCTACTACGTTCTGGGAGATGTGGTAAGGGCTAGAGATACAAGACTGAGTAAGATAGATTCTGTGTCTGCTCTCACAGGCCTCAATTTTGGCAGAGGTAGGCTGTAGTCGATCATTACATGTATAATCATTCAACTAGAATTGTGCTAAGTTGCCAGGTGTGGTGGCTCATGCCTGTCATCCTAGCACTTTGGGAGGCAGAGGCAAGAGGATTGCCTGAGTCCAGGGGCTTGAGACCAGCCTGGGCAACTTGGTGAAACCTCATCCCCACAATAAATCAAAGAATTAGCCGGGCATGGTGGTGCATGCCTACTATTACCAGCTACTTGGAAGGCTGAGGCAGAAGGATCACCTGAGCCCCCAGAAGGTCGAGGATGTGGTGGCCATGCGCATGCCACTGCACTCCAGTCTGGGAGACAGAGAGAGACTCTAACTCAAAAAAGAGAAAAAAAGAAGTGCTAAGTGTTGGGATAAAGGGTGTTAAGGGTACAACCTGTGGTGGTGGGGTTATGTCAGAGAATCTCCCCAAGAAAGTGACATTTAAGCCGGCAGTTCTACAAGAAGTAGAAATTGTCCCAAGTATGGTGGTGACAGTTGTATTGGCAGTGGATGATGTCGGTGATGATAGTGGTGGTGATGGTGGTAATAAAATAGCATGTATTAGGTGCAACAGTTCATGCCTGTAATCCCAACACTTTAGGGGGGCGGAGATGTGAGGGTTATTTGAGCTTGGGAGTTCGAGATCAACCCAGACGAGATCCCGCCTCTAAAAAAATTTAAAAATGGCCAGGCACGATGGCTCAAGCTTGTAATCCCAGCGCTTTGGGAGGTCAAAGTAAGAGGATCGCTTAAGCACAGGAGTTGGAGACCAGCCTGGGCAACATAGTGAGACTTCATTTCTACAAAAAAAAAATTATCCAGGCATGGTGGTGGTGCATACCTGTAGTCCCAGCTACTTGGCAGGCTGAGGCAGAAGGATCACCTGAGCCCAGGAAGTTGAGGCTGCACTCCAGCCTGGGGGACAGAGTGCGACCCTGACTCAAAAATAAAGTGATTTATGGAGGTCTTGGGCATGAAAATATTTTTCAAATTGCACAGCCAAATCAAAGTGCAGGTGGGTTTGCTGTTGTAATTACTGTGGCTACATTGGGTGTCAGGGATTGGGGCAGTTTGGGCTTTTGAGGTTTCCCTAGATGAAGGGTCATGTTCAGATTATATAGTTTTCTTTTAATAGATGTGTTGGGTTGAAGCAGACCTACATGTGTTGGAGCTATGAGACAGACCTGTTTGCTGCACTCATGGGTTTATAGTCTAGTAGGGGAGAGAGAAATTAGATAAAGAAATAATATTAGCCGGGCTTGGTGGCTCAGCCTGTAATTCGGCGCCTTGGGAGACTGAGGTGAGTGCATTGCATGAGCCTGCGGGTTCGAGACTCGCCTGGGCAACTTGGTGAGACCTCATCTCTACAATAAATTAAAAAATTAGCCGGGAGTGGTAGCACACGCCTGTAGTTCCAGCTACTTGGAAGGCTGAGGCGGAAGAATTGACGGAGCCCAGCAGGCCAAGACTGCGGTGGCCGGGAGCGGCCACTACACTCCAGTCTGGGTGACAGAGTGAGACTCCAACTCAAAAAGAAAGAAATAATATTGCTGGGTGCGGTGACTCACGCCTGTAATACCAATACTTGGGGAGGCAGAGGTGAGAGGATTGCCTGAGCCCAGTGGTTCGAAATCAACCTGGGCAACACAGCAAGACCTTGTCTCTATAGTTAAAAAAAAAAAATTGGCCAGGTGTGGTGGCATGTGCCTGTGGTTCTAGCTACTTGAGAGGCTGAGACAGAAGGATCACCTGAACCCAGTAGACGGAGGCTGCAGTGGAACCGTGATCGTGCCACTGCACTCCATCTTGGGCAACAGAGTGAGACACTAACTCAAAAAAAGAAAAGAAAAGAAAAGAAAAGAAAAGAGACAGCCTTCATATGCACCAATATATATCCCTAACTACAACCGCGATGAATGCTATAAATACAAAACGAAGAGACTGAGGAAGGCTGGCGGGGGCCAGACCACGTGTGCCCTTGTGGGTCATAAGTCAGACTGGGTCAAGGCGGAGGCATCATGGCGTGGCTGAGAAAATAATAGCCTACAGTGTGGACCCAGCTGGGCTTAGGCCCAAACCCCACCCTCTGGGCATCAGTTTTCCCACTTGTAAAGTGGATGTCGTCATGGTACCTACCTCATCAGGTGAGGTAGAAGGGGTGATGTGAAGGCATTTGTTAGATTCCTGCCACAGAGCTAGTGTCGAGGCCAGGCCTCAGAAACTGTGGCCCGTGGGCCGAATTTCATCTGCCATTGTTTTTTTTTTTTGAGTTGGAGTCTCACTCTGTCGCCCAGACTGGAGTGCAGTGGCCGCTCCCGGCCACCGCAGCCTCGACCTGCTGGGCTTCGGCGATC